GCGTGGACGACGGACGTGGCTGCCGGTGACGAGCTCCCGACGGAGGACGCGGTCGTTGGCGACGAGCTCCGATGTGGACCGTGGACGGGGGAGGATGCGGCTGCCGGCGACGAGGTTCGGGTTCAGTGTGGAGCGTGGACGGGGGAGGACATGGCCGCAGGCGACGATGCCTCGACACCTCGACGCCCAGCTCCTGGTATCTAGTAGGTATCATATTGATACCTCACAAATATCACCCTGATACGTCGTAGAAATCGCACGATACCTGATAGATATCATATGATACCTCACGAGTATCGCCTGATACGTGATAGGAATCGTCTGATACCTAATACGTGGTAGAATCGTATGATACCTGATAGGTATCACCCGATACCAGCTACTTATCAGGTGATACCTGTAAGGTATCATACGATTCTTACCACGTAGAAGATGATAGTTGCGTAGTTGCGAGGTATCAAATGATACTCGAGTAGGATCATGTTAAACCTGGGAGGTATCATGATCCTCCTTAGTATCATGTCCGGTTTCACCAGGTTTCATAGGTGATACTTTAGGAGGATCATGTGATACCTGGGAGGTATCATGATCCTCATCTGTATCATGTCTAGTATCATTAGGTTTCACAAATGATATCCTAGAAGGATCACATGATACTCCTCAAAGTATCATTATGTATGATACCTATGCAGTACCACATGACCCTACTTAGGTATCATGTCTAGTAACAAGATCCTATGGGTTTCAGAGATGATACTTTAGTAGGATCATGTGATACTTGCGTTTCTACCACATATCATATGATACTTGCGAGGTATCAAATGATACCTATCAGGTATCATGCGATTCTTACCACGTGGTGGGTGATGTTTGCGATGTATCAGGTCCTAATACCTAACTGGTATCAGGTGATACCTACCAGGTATCATGCGATTCTGCCATGTATCATGTGATACTTGAGAGGTATCAGATGATACCTATCAAGTATCATACGATTCTTACAACATAGAAAATGATACCTATCAGGTATCATGCGATTCTTACCACGTAGAATATGATACCTATCATGTATCATATGACTCTTACCACGTAGAAGATGATTCTACCACACTCCACAGCCAGCCATGACCAAGTTAACAAGTTCTTTGCACACCATCTTGTCTCTTTGCTCCCCCAAAGTAGCAGATGGATAGGATGAAGGCCCGGACTCGCAGCGGGATCGACGGCCGGCGACGAAGGCGCCGACCGGAGAGGGCCCGCGATGGAGTTGGAGCGCCGGTGGAGGGCGCACCGGCCGGCCACGCAGATGGAGCCGAGGGTGGGCGTTAACGGCGGCGCCGTGGATGGCAGGCGGTGGTGCTGGAGCTCCCGGCGACAATCCGGCGACCACGTCGCCGATGGCCACGTCGCCGGTGACGGAGTTGGGGCGCCGGCGGAGGGCGCACCGGCCGACCACGCGGATGGAGCACCAGGCGGCAAATCTGGCGACCACGTCGCCGGCGGCCGCGTCTCCGGTGGCCGCGTCCTTCTCTCACCGAGCGGGACTTCTTCCCTGCGCCGGAGTCACCGACGGCCACCTCCTCCTCACAGCTTAGGCGCTCAGCGTCAGCGTCGTTCCTATTTGGATGGGATAGGTGGACGTAGGGTATCCCGTCGATACCCTTCCCGATGGTATACCGGTATATAGCATTTCCGAAAGAAATACAAAAAAACTTGTGAGGTCCACATGATAGTGGCCACCTCACCTCCTTGCTCTACTTCCCCTCTCCTCACTTCACTTCCCCAGCTCCTCTTATCTCCTACGCGTCGTCGAGCTCGTGGTCAACTCCATTCTCAACCTCGTCGGTGAGATGAGAAGCAGAAGCATGGCCCCCATCCTCATCGAGCTCTTCCCTATGGCGTTATCCACCTCCCGTCGTCACTTCTGTCCTCCATGACATACCTGGTCACACGCACGACGGATGTTGCTGACGTTTTCTCCGCCGCTCCAGGACCTGTCACTGTCATCCTCGACTCCACCTCCGGCAGTGAGCTCCGTTATGCTAGCATCGCTGACTATCCTCTACTCCACGACAACGGGCCTCCACCACCGGCCTCAACTCCGTATCTCCACTCCAGGTCGGCCAAGCCCCAACACCGCATCCGCCTTCTCCAACTCTAGGACCCGACCACTTTGTCGACCATGCCATGATTGCTTCTCCCTAGCTGACAGCGCCTCAACGGATGGCCTCATCTCTATCCTCCTACCCATCCCTAATGACATCAACTCTATCGGTTGGCCCCCGGTCAAAAAAAAAACTCTATTGGTTGGCCCGTCGACCCCGCCCAACTCCCTCCTCGACACGTCACCAACCACGACCTGCCACACCCTCTCCACCAGTCTGCCCCCTCACGGATCTAAGGTTGTCGCCGTCCCAGGCTTCTTTTTCGATTGATCGGCAACTGCTCGTCATTGTCGTTCTACAGAGCCAAGGACCACGCTTCCTCTAGCTCGTCTTCCACTCAAGCTGACGCCGTCTCCACCCAGCGTACCGAGTGCACACTATCAACGGCGATAAGAACAAGGGCAAGCTCGACTACGCCGTGCTTGGAGCTCACCACTGGTGCTCATCGGTACGGAGGAGATAAGGGGAAGAGAAAGGAGGATAGGGAAATAGAGGAAGAAGGTGGTGTGACCACTTATAGTGGGCCACACAAGTTATTTTCTCTTGCTAATTCGGATACTACATCAGTGAAATCAGCCATATATACTACCACGGGACATAATTTAATCTGGTTTTGTAAGTCGGGGGTCAAGATTTTGGTATTGCGGTTAAGGGATACATTTAAACTCGACAAAAGGAACGTCAAGTGGACTCATTCTTGGACAAATTTGCACCATGGGCTTCCGTGTCAACTGGGCTGTTACTATACAGCTTGAGAAATGGCCCATGAGAGAAAAGCTTGTTACTTCTATTTGCCTCTCTTGTTTCTGCTACTTTTGGTACGAGTGAAACGGAGAGGAAACAAACAACCGGTGACTGGTAGATGTGATGGGCAATGCGCCGAACGCCGATGCCTCGTCACCACTTGGCTTTACAGCGCAACAGCTGCTCGCTTTCACTGGCCATTTCTTTTTTCCAGGCCGGGATAGCTACTGGCCGCCGCTACAGGACGAGGCGACGAAAAGGCAGCCGGTGTCCGGCGCCAAGTCATCGCGTTTTGCAGGCGATGGGAACGGTCCGCACCGCGTGGCGTGGAGAACTTGAGATGCTTCTAGGCTGCCGTCCAGGTGTGGGCTTCAGGATGGGCAGCTCGCCGTATAAAAAAAAGTTCATCCGATAGGATGCAGGATCAGTTGTGCCCGCCGGCAAGCGACGGCATCCAGTGGAAAAAAAAACAAATGCTACGGGTACAGCCGTACAAACCTGCAACGTACTGCTCCGTAGCACCTCTTTGGGGAAACGAGCTGCATTTGCCGGCACAGCAAAATCATAGGTATGCTAATATAAATCTTATCAAAATTTAATAATGGTAAAATTTTAGTAAATTAATAATATTGCTAAAATCTTAATTATCAATTTTAACAAAAAAATAGTATGTTGATAGTGTCATCAATCTGAACATGCTCATACTCAAGGTGGGTTCGTAACAAGTGGTGCCATCTAGGAAGTCGGAACCGGAAATCAGCTTGGTGAGGGCAGTATATGCATATTGTAGAAGCCATAGCTCGACGGTGAGAGTAATAGACGAAGCGTTAAAGCCATATGTTAAGAACGCGTTGACGAGAAGCTCGAGTTTGAGGTTATGGCCGTCGTCACCAGATCAAGCCCCTGGTTAATGGAGAAGCGCAAGAGATAACACATAAATAAATAGTTAAAAGATAAAACCTAGTAAAAGGTTTTAGAGTGGTCTTATTCTACTTCTAAGAACTTTCATTGGTCATGCCTTTATACAACTAGTGTCTCTATAGGTTTTGATGAAAAGAAAGATGCTTCTACATGCTAGAATTATGTTTCACATTCACTACTGACTACTGTTTACTGCATATACCTTTAGCTTTGGTTAATTCAAGCTATCAAGCATATGTGAAACCAATTAAGACAATTTCTTCCTCCTTCTCACAATGGTATTCCTTTTAGCAGTTTCAAATACTATGTATTTTCATTTCCAAGATCAAAACCATGGTTTTATTGTAAAAAAATTGTTATTCCCTTTTCATTAATCAACCGTATCGAAACCAACAAAATATTGCATTTATGCCTTACTCCACCGTTCTAAAATATAGCAATCTAAAATTGGATTAGACTTAATACTATGAATCCAGATTAGAGGAAGTAAGTTCGTTTCTTAAAACATTTTTTTATACTTCCATTTTCCTGTTCCATGTACTCCAGGGGTAATGGATAAAGGCTGTGTTTATTTGTTTTGGCAAAAAAAATTTGATGTATACGGACACACATTTGAAGTATTAAACGTAGATTAATAACAAAATAAATTACAAATTCCGCCTGTAAACATCGAGACAAATATATTAAGCCTAATTAATCCGTCATTAGCAAATGTTTACTGTAGCACCACATTGTCAAATCATGACGTAATTAGGCTCAAAGATTCGTCTCGCAATTTACATGTAAACTGTGCAATTGGTTTTTTTCATTCACATTTAATGCTGCTATGTATGTATCCAAATATTTGATATAACGTAAAAATTGAAAGTTTGAAGGTAATTAAACACAACCAAAAATTGCAAATGGATAAGGCAGTTACTTCTAGAGTCCTTGTTCCAGATACCTGTACCTTATACAAGAAGCCACAGTACGATCCAGCAGACAAAGCCCCCACACCTGATCCCATCTTATCTCCTTCCTGTTTACCCTGCACGGCACCCATTATCCAACTTAACAATCCAATGGGCCGTCCGTCCGTCCCGTCCCTGACCTGCCTCCCCCTGCCGGCGCGGCGCGGCGCGGCGGATTCCATCAAAACCAAACCAGTCTCCGAAACCTCCCCACCATTAACCTCTAAACCATAAAGTCCCCCCGTCTCATGTCGTCTCATCACTCACTTATAATCACCCCCATCCACTTAATCACGCTCTCAACGCTGCTGTGTCACGTCACGTCACGCGCGGCTCCGTAATAAGACCACCAACCTCCTCCTCCTCCCTCCCACGTTTGGAGCTCTCGTCTCGTCTCGCGGCCTCGAGCCCTCGACCAACCAACCACCCGCTTCTTCTCTCCCGTCTCCCGAAACCTCCGAGAGCTCAGAAGAAAAAAGAAGAAAAAAAAGAGAAAAAAAAACTGGTGGAAACTGGAAGGTTTGCGGCGGAAACGAGGGGGAGGGATGGTGGCGAGGAGGGCGTAGGCGGGGGGTGGGGGTGAGGCGGATGATGGCGTCGAGGGTGATGGCGTCGTCGTCGCCGTCGCACACGGCATCGGATCTCGCGCGGTTCGCGGCGGGGAGGGGTGGGGGCGGGAGCGCGGGGCTGGGGTCGATGAACGTGGAGGAGATCCTCCGCGGCATCTACGCCGACATGCCGACGCCGGCGCTGCCCCTCGTCGGCGGTGACAGGCCGATGTCGCCGCTCCCGGCGCCGGATGTCGCCGCCGCGCCGCGGACGGCGGAGGAGGTCTGGAAGGAGATAACTGGTGCGGGCGTCGCCGCCGCCGCCGGCGGCGTGGTGCCCCCTGCTGCTGCTGCTGCTGCTGCCCCGGCCGTCGTCGCTGGCGCTGGCGCTGGCACCGGCGCGGAGATGACGCTGGAGGACTTTCTGGCGAGGGAGGGCGCGGTGAAGGAAGACGAGGCTGTGGTCACCGATCCCTCGGCGGCCAAGGGGCAGGTGGTGATGGGGTTCCTGAACGGGGCAGAGGTCACCGGAGGCGTCACCGGCGGCAGGAGCAGGAAGAGGCACCTGATGGATCCGATGGACCGCGCCGCGATGCAGCGGCAGAAGCGAATGATCAAAAATCGCGAGTCGGCGGCGAGGTCACGGGAGAGGAAGCAGGTGGGTGTGGAAACTGTGCATTTTTACAAGCTTTCGTTCGCCCTAGGAATTTGAGTTATACTGAGAAGGCTGACGTCTTCTTTTTGTTGGTGAAGGCCTATATTGCTGAGCTCGAGTCGCTGGTCACGCAACTCGAGGAGGAGAACGCCAAGATGTTCAAAGAACAGGTACTTCTCCGAGACCCCGACATTTCTCGTGTGCTTGTTTGATGTTGGAAACTTGAATGTGGGGATTCGTGTGTTGAGAATTGAACCGTGTCTCCATTGTTTATTGAGCTTAAACTTGCAGAAATGTTTCTGTTAAATCTCTAGGTGAGTAGGCATGTGACCATGAACATGTTAGAACTGCAACAGAGTTGGGCTGTGGAGCCAAAATGAATTGCAAGTAGTATTCGTTTTTGTTAGCCATCTGCTTAGGATGCCATTTGCCGTGGTAAATTTTTTAAAGGAAAATGCTTCGCATACAACAATCATATACTAGTGCACCAAGCAGCACACGCTGTTCGGCTGTTCGGTACAGCGGCCACGCTACAGCCAATTGCTACACCAAGCAGCACAGCCGCTGCACTAAGCTTGCTGCCGCACAGCGCTGCATCAAGCAGCCGAACACGGCATATGCATATTAAAACTCATCTCATTCGCTGCCTTTGATGTATTCTCGCTTTTCCTTCTTGGAAAAGGTCTCCCTATAAAATTTGTAGTGTGTACAGAAGTTGTCTGAAAGAAGTGTTATTCACTATACTCACCTTTTGTTCTTGTCTCCATTTCCCCTGTCCATTTTAATTTAGAATTTCATACTGTGCCTACACGGTTACGGCTGGATTGTGCATGACTTGCTTATAACTAATCAAGGATGGCATAAGTTACTCTTCTTGGTCTTCTAGCAATTTCCTTACGATAAACTCCCTCGCATGTGTTTCAGGAGGAGCAACATCAGAAACGACTTAAAGAGGTAAGCTTTGTAAGATGGTGTTGCCTTTAATTATCTAGTGCTTTAGAGCATTTGTGTTAAGTGCCATATCCCAAAAAAAACTTCACCCACAACGCATGCCCTGGAGGGGAAAAAAGAACATCGTCTTGTGAAAATCTTGTAATCAATCCTGGATCAGCCTTCATATAGGAACATACAGTACAGAACACAATACTGGGTAAGTATACACTGGATTATTCCGTATTCGTTGGATATGATACTCCAAACAGGAGATGCTTTTTAGCCTTCCCACTAGCCTGCACCAAGTGGCTTGGCAAACAAACAATAGGTGATGCTGACACCTTTCGATGGCATCAGCACAAGTGCACAACACATGTTGAGTTTTGAGATTGTCTACCTCATCCATTTCTTTCTTGGGAGCCTGTTCAACTCATTATAGATGCATTGCATGTATATATGTCTGATTAAAAAGGCCTGAGCCTGCAGTTCCGTGCTTTTCCACCACGGCACAGCTTGCCAGGTTGAAGCAGTATATAGTTATAAATTGTCTTCTTTTGTCACTATCAGGGAGGTTGGGTTGAGAGGGAGATGCTTTGTCAATTTGGTTGTATAAGTTGCATCGTAGGCACAGTTGAGCCCACATCTTGCTTAGGAACAGTTCGCCTCCATTTGGCTTTGCATACTATAGTTGTCTTCCATTTAGTTTTCAGCCAGCATAGGATTTCAGATTTCTTCTAATTTTGCCTTTCCTGCCTGGATTGTATATATTGATTTATATATATCTTGACGACCTGCCTCTCATCGTTGGTGCAGAGGCCGAATTCCATTATCCAAAAAAAAAAAAAAATCTTTTGCAAATCTATATGCTCATTAACTCATTCATTAGGTTCATCGATCATGCTTATCTGAAGAAATCTGTTTACTTTATGCAGCTCAAGGAAATGGTTGTTCCAGTCATCATTAGGAAAACGTCAGCACGAGATCTTAGAAGAACAAACTCGATGGAGTGGTAGACGTGAGCCAAGCTCAGTTGCCATCCCCATACAGTTTATGTAGCATTTGCTCCTGTTTTGTCAATTCTTCTGTTTTATCGGCAGTAGCCTAGTTGCGGTGAATACATGAGTATTTAGGTGACACGAAGCTTAAATGTCTGGAGTCATATGCTACGGAGGGGAGAGTGCGTACGAGCTACAAAAGCAATCATATGTGTAGGGAGGGGAGAGTGCATATGAGCTATAAAAGCCATGTTCCAATTTGTCGCGGGAGTGTATTCTGTCCCATTTGTTGTCTGTTTCATTTTCAGTTTAACAATTAGGTGTAGTGAGGAAGAATTACGAGTACTGAGTAGTACTAAACAGGGTGACTCTAGGTATGCTGATATGATATCTAGTTAGGCATTACTTCTGATTCTCTGTTTGGTGCCACGACTCAAATTGTCTGTACATACACGTTGGATGTAAAGTCACATTATCAAGTGAAATCATGATGTATTTCCTCCAGAATTTTTTTTGACTGAATTTCTTACAGAATTTGGGATGGCTGAAGTATCATAGCGAAAGGCAGAATCAGAAAGATACAATCGGTGACATGTGACTGTACTTTCAGGTCGAATTTCGTAAGCCAGCGCAGCTCTTTAGCGTATTTTGGAGTATTATGATTCTGATTAATTGGCAATCATCTGTGACGTAAAATTCAAATGATTCGTTAAGGGTAACTAAATGTTACAGTTCATATATAGTAAATTAGAGTATGGTTCCTCTCGTGAAGTGATTCCAAAAGGCCCCCTACTGACTTTTTTTTTATATAAAAATGGGGGCGGAAAAGAACATGATCAGTTGCATCAACACACCAAACATTAGCTACAGAAATTCTAATGCAGATGAAAGGGTAAGTAATCACTGTCCATCCTTGATTCAGTTTGGGCAGGAGACGCTAAAATCACCTCTAAAAACGAATATTGGCTTCTTGCTAGCTTCCAGCCGTCAGACATTACCCGATTACTGATAGACAATCCTGCCTAACATCAGCAACGAAGACACTTCCAGATTCGCACCATCCAGCCACAACATCTGTATTCGCACACTGCAAGTTCGCCAGCAACGTCGTTAATGCTCTCATAGGGGCTAGCTTAACAGGGTTACAGGGAATATATATCGCAGCAAGATTTTGCCGATGCACACAAAAACATTATACTATAAGTTATTAATGCGAGAGGCTAGCTTGCTCCCACTTATAACAGGACTAGGGATTACCTTTGAAAAACCCAACCAGTTGGAGTCCCCTCGAAATGAGAAAGCTCGCTCGTTTCCCTTCCAAAGTCCACATGTAATCTGCAGTGAAATTATACGTATCAAAGAATAAATGTTTACATCACAAATCACAAGCAAAATAATTGCATATGTGCTCATCAACTATGGTGTAACAACAACTAATTAAGTTACTCACTAGACTAAATAGTCCAACGTGAACTGCAGCCTTGTGCAGAAGAGTTAACAGCCGTATATAATCTATTAAAAAACATATATCAAAAGCTGCTTCCAGAGAAACAATTATAGTGTTTTTGTCTATGTTACTGAAATTCACGTGTGAAATTGGCAATGAGCACATGATAAGCTAATGCATAGCTGATGTTCTTAAAATTAAGCATTCTATCTACCTAAACACAGGTTGCCACCATGCAAATGAAATTAGTCGCTAATAACTCCGAGATGCATAGAATTTTAAGCGAGCTTGAAAAAAAAAATTATCCCACATACCTCATAATCAACACCTTGGACATAAATGAAAGATTCATCAACTGATGAAAATGAAAGGCCTGTAATCTGTGTAGGAAGGTAAATATTTTATCACATCATGGAACATTTCACCCTCAATGCAGGTATTATGATTCTTCTATGAAGAACTGTGGTTGAAATTTAACTTCTTTATATCAGCTACAGAAAGCAATGTCACAAGGCGGGCTAAAGTAGATCGAACCTCATACTTGGAGCACCCAACCCATCTTGACAAGGCTGACCACCTGCATACAATAGATCTTCAATTAAATCCAGATTGATCCACGGTGGTAACTTCTATTATAATCTGAGTATCTTGTTGGTACCAGATACAGAAGTACAAAATTAAAAGAAATACAAATTACTCCAGGATAGCAAGGACATGCAACTATTCATCGGATCTTTCAAACTAAAAGAAGCAAGCAACCCAACCTGCGAGGATCATAGATGGTTACAGTACGATCTGTTCCACCAACAGCAATTGGTCCAGAAGGAGAACTACAGAGAGAGTATATGATGCCTCCAATAGGGCCAGAAATGCGGTGTATGCATCCACCATTATTGCTCGTTCTCAAGTCCCATATGCTCAGCTGCAAACTAACCGCCATAAGAAGAGAGTACAGAGAAGAAAGTTTATACAGGGACGGTGGATTGATTTTGAGTCTAACCTGAGAACCTTCAGCGATTGCTAGCATTGAACCACTTTCATTCACTTGTGGCATGCACTGGGCAAAGCTAAATGAAGATGGATACCATAACCTGCAGTTTCAATTTTTTACATGCTAAGTCAGAAATATTTTGACATTACAAATAAATTTCAGCATGCATATACTAGAAGATATTATACAGTAATTATAATATGGTCATATGGATGCTGATAGATGGGGGTTATCTGTTTCATTCACAAGGCTTACTTTGAATATAGCAAGGCAAAGGTCAGATATAACCCATATGGATGTTAATTTTTCGTTTCATGTAAAATCGCAAGTGGTCGATACATTGTGCTTTAGCAACTTTCAAAAACAACAAAGTCAGTCAGACAATAATCTGTCATGAAGGCAATATCCTGGTAAGAGGAAACTTACGTACGTAAACTGCGAACATGAATGTCCTGGTCGTAGATATCAATGCACTTACACAATTCACGAGCAACAGCTACCTGGAAAGAATATAAGTTGTACCTGGTTATGTGGTAATGCAAGTGCTCTACATATTGATGCTTATGCTAAAAGTATAAAAGCCAATAGGAAATGCACTGTCCCTGTGTATAAAGTTTTTGCTAACAAAGATAACATGTGGATTTTGTTTGTAGGCAATAATACCGTGGATTGGTGCATTGGACTAAAACATAACCCAGCCCAACTTCCTTCTCCGACACCACAATCACGAGGTGGTACTGAATAGGAGGCCCTGTCAATGTCTGAGCAAGTTTAGTAGCGATATGTTCATACATCGCTAATGAGAAAGATGCAAATATGGGATTTCTTTCATGTTTTCAATTATCCATGCCATGTTGAAGACAAGACAGAAAGTTACCATCAGCCACCGTATCTAACCGAGATACAATAAGATGACCATAAGAGTCAACTGTTCCAAGAATCAAACAGCCATCACCTGGTAAAGTGGTAATGCCACAAAGAAGGGTGTGAAATAAACTGTGGAATATGTGCCGTTTTAATTTTACCAAGACTAAAAGAAGAACAAACTGAAAGCCGAATTGGAATTGATAAATAAATTTATTCGGTAAATTACAATATAAACATATAATTTTATCCTCAGCACTTAACAACCTTGCTTTGTGTATAACTGTATATATCGTTCTAGTACTTTGCCTAGTGCCTGTGACTGGCAATTGCATTTACAAACCTAAGTTAGAACCAACCAAATAGTCAACTCGTATAGCAAATCCAACAAGCTAAAATTAAAATGACAGATCACTAAAACTGAAATGGCTAGGAAGTTACAGGCGCATGAGACAGTGCTTGGTGAAAATTAGTACTAGTTGCCAAGCAATTATATTGAAGCAAGAGCAGTTACTATAAAATTTCCTCAAGATATAATATAATTAAATACTCCCTCAATTCCAAAATATAAGGCATAACCACCCTAACCCAAAGACCAAGAAAATAATTATTATCTTGTAGTTTGGATCATCCTAATAAATACAATGCATGCATCCAATAGAATTAGAGAACATGAGAGTGGAGGATTTAAAAAAGTAATAATTTAATGGAGAAGGGGTAATAGTTAATTGCCTACATGCATGTATGCCTTATATTATGGAACATCTAGAAAAAGTAGTTGTGTCTTATATTATAGAATGGAGGGAGTACAATATAATGTACGGTCGTTGTTTATGCTCTTTGTAAGCCATAGTTTCAGCAGGCAAAGCGGAATATGCCAACTCAAACAGAAGAGTATATATCAACACATTCATAACAGGTTTTGATGGCTATTTCAGCCTATGTTATGTTAAGTGAACAGCAGAACTACTGAACTACAACATTTTAATCTGCGAAATAAGAGATGGTTCTATATTGTTGTGAGATACTGAAGATTGCACCTTCACCCTCTGCAAGAACTACACTCTGGATCTCTGAACGATGTGGGCAGCGATCCACCACTGACGAGCTTATGACCTTTCATTTAGCAACTGAATGTAAGAGAGCAATCAAGGACCAAAATCGTAAAATGGAAGTCCCTATGGAAGCCTAGAGTTTGTACCTCTGCATTGATAGGAATCAAGAGGCTCTCCTTGCCCTTGGACAACATCTCACCCTCCATGGCTATCTGTTCAGCTCCAAGATGAAAGAGAAATGGGAATCAAACTTGAGAACCGCATCAAATTACTTCCCAAATGTAATTACACGCCAACTACCACCACCAGCAAAACCAAAACGAACAGGAGAGCTATGTCCTTAAATTCTCTCGCCATCCTGCGCCAACCTGCAAGAGCGACTAAGAACTAGACAGCCCGCACGACAATTCCTGATCCCACAGCATTCGTGAAATCGTGACCCCTTGCCGCGATACAGTTGTACGAACAGAAAGGAACGAGGAGCCAGTACGAGGGTGACCTCCTCACCTCAATCTTGTAGACGCGGCAGCCGGAGGCGAGGTAGGCGGAGCAGGAGGAGCCGGCGGCATTGACCTGCGAGATGGGGGGAACCGAACAGCGCGAATCCTCAGAGCCCTGGGTTTAGGGTTTTGGAGGCGCGGCGCCAACGAGAGAGAGGAAGGACGCGTACGTGGACGGCGAGGCGGGTGGGCTGGAGGCTGCCGGGCGAGGGGTCGGAGAGCAGGGACGGCGGCACGGCCGCCTTCCGGAGGCTCCGCGGCGCCAGCATCGCCGCCGGCCGCCGCAGCTCTCTCCCGCCGCCGCTATCTCCTCCGTCTTGGGTGGGACCGCCTCACTAACCGACACGGCTTCACCACTTCACAAAATCACACTAACTCCTTGTAAAAAAACAAAAAAACAACCACACTAAACTCCCCCCATTCAAAAACACTAACCGGAGATAGTTATCTCATGATAAAGATGCTGGAAACGTCTCCCGAACTGCGTCCATCTTGCAAAAGGATACTGGTACAGTCAATAGGTCACAGTTTCCCAAGGATTTTGTTTGTTTTTGTTCTTTCTTCGCTTATGTGCCAAACAGTTTCCCAAGGATTTTGTTTGTTTTTGTTCTTTCTTCGCTTATGTGTTATCTGTAATGCGATTTTTGCAGGAGGTTCTTTAAACCAGAAAGCTTTGTAGTGCTTGGAAGAAACACGTTCTTTCATATGTTGCTGTTCACGAATCGAAGCCAGAGCCTGGAGCGCCGGTTGCTGATCTAGTGTGGAACAAAGTTGGGTTACACCACACTTGCCCCTTTCTGGTTTGCCGGGTTTTGGTGCGACCAGAGATGTAAGGCGATGACTCGTACGCTTTCTTGCGGCTACGCATTTGTAAAGTAAAACGGCCGATTTTCCAGTAGTCCCAAACTTTCGCCGAACAGAATGTCCCTAGTGCACATGCTTTCACGAAACCATCCTGTCGGCTGCCGCAACTTTGAACTTGCAAGATAGCAAGAACACAATTTTCTGATTCAAATGCAATATTACATGGCACAGCGTTGGAACAATGACATTAGTTTTGAAGCTCTTATAAATTATTAGATGTTGCAAACTGGCACCCCAGATTTTTTCTTTTAAAAAAAGAGAGATTCTGGAAGTGTTAGTACATGGCTCAAGGTGACCAATGATCTTTAGGTCTAGGATTTCTCTGCGACCGAAGTATGGACATCTGATCATCAAACCACCCTGTAGTATTCTGTATTCCTGCCAAAAAATTCCGCGATCCAAGTCTGGGCATCTGATCATCAGATCCTTAGATCTTGTAGTATTTCTGCCCAAAGAAAATGAATAAGAAATGACAGGAGGGTTACATGTTTGATACAACTATAATATACTACTACGTAGCGTTTACTTCTTTAAAGACACGACTGTTTGTTTTCATATAAACACCAGGGAAAAGAATACTGCTGGGAACTTCTAACAGATCATTAGATCAACAACACATGCAAAATAGTGACTTTTGTGAAGATAGCTCAGGCAGAGTAGAGATAAAACCTATGCCTTTCCTGTGCTACCTCCTGTTATTGCTTTGCAGATTTTCAGTTGGGGAAAAAGAATGGTAAATTTACAGAACAGGACATAGAAGGATTATTGCACATCAGTCGTGGACGAAAAGTTTTTCTCTCGCAATATAATTTCATATTTATTCCATTGCCTTTTATCTGATTAAGAATGGTAAAGGTGGAAAGAATTGAAAGATTGTATAGACATGTCAACCAGTCATGTACAGTACTCGTGTGCTTAACGGAATGTAGCATCTATGTTGGTCATCAGATAAGGTATCATTTTGCTGTTCCTATGAACTTCACGCAATTAAGAATTATAGAGAGATTGAGGGACAACGATTGTATAAAGGGTAGTAATCTGTTGGTGTTTACTCTTCCTAAGAAGTCTGATGGTGATAATAATCATAGATAGCTTTCGTCCTGCAGATCAATTTGGGAGGACCAAATTGCAGGTGCTTGAATATGTAGAGTAGGTTAGTATTACTCGAGGCAAATAATTAGCTTCAAAATCAGTTGTCATATATTATGTCCACGGTGCCATTAATTTTCTGTCTCCTTTTATTTATTATACTACTGTTTTCACTCGATATCCAGAGACCATCACTATTCTAAACAGGTCGAAAGCTAATGTTACTCTTTTTTTTTTTGCTTCATCATTTGCATCTAAAGTAATAATTTGTTCTACTTTCCTACCAAGGATTGCATCTTTTTAGAACCAACTCTCTTCAAATCAGTTCTAGAAAGCATAATGTCAGTCGGCTCTATATAATATAGGTTCACTTATAAAAATGTTATACATGGCATAATATCGAGTTTCCTCTTTCTATCTTCCAGTAACGTGCAGGGTGTTTCACTACATTTTCATTGCTAATAATCACAATCCTATATATCCTACAGTAACAGAACCCAGCCCAACTCATATTATGCAAATGAGGAAGATAATCATCCACAAGATAAACCCCTAAATCATCCACAAAATAATCTGTAGGCAGTAGGCTAAGAGTTCAAATGAGATGTTTCTTAACAACATAACTATATGAAACAGCGTTCCAACTCTCTATGAATTGCAAAATAATAAAGCTGGTAGAAAGTATACCTCAATGCCTTGCAGTGCTTTTTTGGCTTCAGCATTGCTTTTGAAGTGATCATAGACCGGCTTCAAACCAAAAACATAAGGTAAAACCATTTCAGAATAAAATATTGTTTTCAGTAAGAACAATGGCCGAAAGAAATCAAGCACACTCAAATAAACTATTCCATCCGTTTTATATTGTTTCTCCTTAACTGCCATGTGCAAAATCCCAGTAATAAGTCTAAGAAAGAGTTAATGAGAAATGCCCGTGTATGACTGCATGCATGCTATAATTATTTAAATTCTTTTACATCATCAAAGTAGGATACATCATGGGAATATTGTAATAACTACACTCTTATTTTACTCAATAGAAAAATATATTAAAATGACACCTCATGAGAGAAAGGACAACACTGTGAAACAGGGCATGCTGTTGTGCAAATATGTACACTGTTTCATAATATATTATTTCTTTCATGTTAGAGCAACTTATCAAGAACAGGGGTTACTGTCAGGAAAAGAATTACTGCATGTGGTGATCCGTTGGAATAGTGAGCCACATTCTTGAGAAGTGAAAACAAATAGTACTATTTTCTTTTTTCTATTTTGTTTGGTGAGGGCTTCATTGCTAATGCATGCATCTTCTTGCTCCTTTCGATATGCAATTCCTAGCGGAATTTCAGTCCACAATTGAACCTAGATTTTGGAGTTAATTCTTTCGAAAAAAATAAAAAAACAGCATGTGGAGCCAGTTGTTCATCTTAGGCCTTCCTATGTGAAGCATATAGATCTTAGCAGTAGAATTTGTAACAAACCCTGTATTGGGCATCTTCCAGGTGAGACAATTTATTGATCTCAAAATTGTCAATCATAGCAAATGCAGAGAAATCTCAAAATGGCAGCACCCAGGCAAAAGAAAGATGACTGCCAGGCAAGAGAGAAAAAGGTTACCTGCAATATTTTGATTAATGAATTTGCGAGAGCCAGCTTCATGTCACCAGGATGCAGAACCCCACTTACATAATCAGCAGTAAGCTCCTCCATGCTCAGGAACGTCCTGTATATTTATAGTCAATATATAGTCATCACAATGAAATGCAATGATAGTATCATCTCCTGACACTGGTACTAGCACATGGATCTTTTGTGAATGAATTCATTTAGTTGTGACTTGTTTAATGCCTGACTAATTGTCGAGTTGTCATGAACTGGATGAATGCATTCTACTGGTCAATTACATGATTATAAGCATTTGTCAGGAAACATGGAGAAGTGACTTGGAGAGAATCTTACTTGTTACCACCATCCTCTTTCTCCCGAACCACCTCAAACTTTCCATACCATGGTAAGATGATATATTTTATGTACTCCAAACATGGATTGCCTTCTGCTAATTTTGGAGGGCAGAAAGCATGTTTTATTTTTCTACTGATATCAACCTGCAATACACTAAACGTATATTGAACAGACTCATTTGTAAAACTATCAATCACAAAAACCAATGATTCCCTGAGACAAACATCAGCCAGTAAACAATATAAAGCAGCTAATGTCTGTACCTCTATGGTTAAATTGGTTGACAAAATGTTAAACAACATACAAGATAATTATATTTTTTGACCGGGCAAGATAATTAATATCACATACAGGCTCCAACAACAAAAAGGCCAAAACAAACTGGTTAATGACACTAGTTCCTTTTTTAAAATACATAAGAGAAGTTGCTTCTTCTGAATAGATATTATGAGGTATCCATAATAGAATTAATAAAAAATCACTTTTTTTTTTACTATTCTATTCAATATATATTTGCATCTAACTGAACCATGCAAATTGTACCATTACTCTTGCATAGCCCATAGGCATGGAAAGTCAACTATTTTTGCCCATCTTCCTGAACCAAGATGGGCTACCTTACACTATAGTTATGTTGGCCTATAAATAGTGAGCAAGAGTTGCAAGAACCTTTCACTAGCTCTTGTATTAAATATTTGAAATAAAATTATAAAACAATGCAACCAATAGAATATTAACAAAGCTGAACATACTAATAACACAATACGAACCGTAGAATCATCCATGAAGATGGCTAGGAATGGGTTCCTCCTATGTTCTTCTTCAGGATATTGTAATAAATTAGGAAGCTTTTCTGAACTTTATGTTAAGGATGTGTGTCTGAGTATGCTTTGGTATACCCGTGCATGTGTGTCAGCATGTATGTGTTCGACATAAATTACCATTATATAAGGACCAAATACCAAATTAGACCACTCATCCACAATAAAACAGATTGGAATATCAACTAGATAGAACATCTAAAGATACTGTGTGACACTGCAACTGGCTTGTTCCGCCTTTTTACACGCTTGCAGTATTCTCTAGCTAACAAATTGGCCTCATGTTGATCCATGCCCAAGAGCCATATGTCAACCTGAATACAAAATGTACATGAATTCATAGATGTACATGAATAATGCTTTTAAAAAGTTCGATATAAAAACTATACATGTCAGGAAAAATATAGAAGCATATTGAGACTACTAATTTACTGGATATGGTGGTTGCAGAATTTATTATACAGACCTGCACAGTAACAGTTTAGTGAAACTGAACACGTGCATCATCTAAACAAGAACCAACACAAAGCTATGCTATGCCATAGAAAATATAGATCAAATATGCCTCGCGCACAAGAATCTATGAGGTCCAAAATCAATGGGAAGCAAGCAAGGTTGGACTAGTCTATGACTCCATATCAATATAACTACACTTGGTGACAAACAGAGATGGTGACAAACAAACATCCTAAGGTTCAGGGGCAACGCTACATTGTATGAAGGTGGTACGCATGCACCATGGTAAATCAAGATTTTGCTAGTAAATAAACTCATATCTGTGGCATGTTACTTCGAAATTGCATAAGGTTGATATATTTCTAAAGAGGGAAAAAAAACCTTCTGAAATAATATGGTAGCACACTGAAAAGAAAGGTAAAATATATCAGCAGCAGTGAATTCTTCAATTAGATCTCTCCCACAACACCTGTGGGTAAACAGAAATGAAACGACTTGTACATTCAAATGATCCTTCATTTGATTTGACGACCAAATTTAAAGGTTGACAAGTAACAGTACACATTTTTACAAATGATCCAAACAAGAATATACCTTTTTATTATACTCACAGTGGTTTTTCTTGCAACATCTATGGCAAGTGGCCAATATTCATCAGCAAGCCGACTTATTTCATCTGACAACCACACTATCTCTACCCTATCAAGGGCCATACCAGCTGCTTTCCACATCTCAATATTGTACAAGCCAATAGTCCGCATTTCACTTAGATTGCCACCAATATTACGGTTCATCTGGGCAATCCAGTCTGCCATTAGGATTTTAACTTTGTAACCAGATTTAACCATCTTATTAACAGAAAGAGTCGTTATGATCCCCTGCAGCATGAGAATAGATCAGTGCAAAACTCAGAGTGAACATCGCATTACAAACTTGAGCAATTTGTCAGTATAATTGGCATGATGGCATCATCTCAAAATAAAAATGGTTAAATGGGTAATTTAAAATAGCAAATGAATTGGCTGAGTACCACTCAAACAAAAGTTAATATTTTCCACAGCCCATTGACCTACAACATCAGCACAAGAACCATCCACCCTGAAAGCTTATTATCATCAGGATAAAGGGAACAACGGTATATTCACAGTTCACTAAATTACACTTCGATCCAACCGATATTTATGGTCCAGGGAAATCCCTCCTAGCTGTATTTGAACACCTTTTGTTTGCATGAGATTGATGATATAACAGTGTATGCCAAAAGATACTCCCTCCTTCCCAAAATATAAGCATTTTTGGACTTGTCTCCGAGATGCTACTTTGACCAACAATATCTATATAAAAATAAGATGTTTTAAATGATAGTTTGCTTAATGATAAATCTAGTAACATCAATTTTACATGATTGATCTTTTTAAATTTTTTACTATTAATAGTCAAAATTAAAATTGTTTGACTTGACACTATACTAAACATGCTTATATTTCGGGACGGGGGGGAGTAGTAGAGAATCTAGTACTGATGGCTTCAGCAGTGCATTGGCAAAAAGAGCTTGGGAAATCATTAAGAAAAAAATTGACACCCTGAGCAGGAAAGATTTCACTAGAAAGTGGATTTATTAGGTAAATCAAATCGTACATACAGGTCCAAATTTTCCAAATAGTGTTCGAGAAAAGATATACAATTCAGTGGTGTAGCATGACTGCATGAAGCCAAACCAAGAGGGATCCTTAACCCAATACCATTACATAGTTATACAAGTGCCAAATTAACAACCCCACCCCCCACACCCAATCAAAAAAAAAAAGAAGAGGAAGAGCTTATACTGTTGGAGGAAATTAGAGATTGCGAACAAAGGCGCGGAAGCAAGTCATCTTCTTAAGAGCCCCTGCCTGAATGTCGTTAGAAAAAGACTATCAAGTAGAGTGCTAGATGCAAGAACGTCGTTAATAACAGGCATGTAGCATCTTCACCCTACGGTATTGTCAGGCCACTCCACCCTATAATCTTTCCGAATATTTCACTAATAGGAAGACTTAAGAATGTTCTAGAATCGTTCAGATAATCCTAAGCCATCACATTTTTTCAATGAAACATGCTAGTTCAACTTTACTCCCTGAATCCAAGTGATGTAAAAAAGCAAAGTTCTTTAGTTCTTTTAAATTGCATTGCAACCCAAATGATTGTACATTTAGTTTTTCTTTTTCCATCTCCAAAGTCCAAACTTCAAGTTGTTACTGTTGTGAGGGGTTGTAAGGCATTGATGATTGCTCCCTGAAAGATAAAACCAGTCTAAAACATATTCATTCATGATTCATCAAAATTTTAATTTTTTGAAATCCATTACAGACTAAAAGTGTATTATCTTCATCAGACTATCCTCGTTCTTCCTTGGGAGGACTACAATACAGTTGATGTGGATAATTCATTCATAGAAATTTACCAGTTTCAGTATGCAGAATTTAAAAATGCTACCACGAAAAATATATTCGTTCATATACCTGGGATATGCGCATAAAGGGGGTGGGATCACACCAAACATAGCAAACGGGGGCAGATTTCTTCTTTAGCAGTAACTCAAGCTCGCTGTCTTTGACACGGTCCTCCCCAATGCTCTTTAGTGTTGCGAACCTCTGATCAAAACTCCCCTCAACAGTATCCCTGGATGTAAACAATCGTAACATTACAAAGCTTGGGTCAAGATTGAAGTTCAGAAGAGCAAGGTTACCTAATAGAGTCGACGGCAGAATCGGCTGAAGTCATAGTGTTGACATTATAGCACTGCTTGCTCCAGTTTTGTTCTGAGATTAAGTCCAGCCTTGGCGGAGCTCCTCTGTTAGTAGCAAAATAATCAGGTTGCGGTGAGAAAGATGTATTTTTTTTCCTTCCCCAATTTCATCATAACAACTCATGAGATTTAACATTCTTTTCCGAGCATGAGTGAGTTTATCTACTCCAACCACACCGAAAATCGATCCCACTCCTAGATGAAACAGGCACGGAGATCTTACCCGCTATTATTTTGTAGGTGGGGCCGTTCTTCGCGGAATATTTCCGGTTGTGCCGACCTGCTGTGGAGGCGACGAAGCAGCGCCGGTAAGTCGGAGCGGCGGCGCGGCGGCGTCGAGGCCGGTGTTCGCTTCCATGCTTTGCCCACAAGGCCAAACGCCCGCGCTATCATTGTCTCCGCTCCACACGGTAGCGCCAAATCATGGAGCGTCACCGACCGGCTAATCCGGTCGCAGCCTCCTCCGCCGCCGCCGACGCCGCCGCCGCCGTCGAACTCCCGCCGTCGCCTAGGGGTTTCGTTGGGTCGGGGGGCGGGCCGAACTCTCGTTCGGGTGGTCTCTGTTGCTCGGCCGTACGCTCGCCTCGGAAGTTGACAAGCGGCCCATGTACGGCCCAGGGTGTGCGTTCAGCCGGCGAACGCATCTTGGCCCATTACCTGCTTTTTCCTCACGTGCACGATATGGAGAAAAGGTCGGTAATAAGGTCTCGTTTGTCACATATCTAGCTCCAACTTACCTGGAGCCGGAGTTGTGCCAAACAGTCTAGATCCTCTGATTTTAGGAGCGGAGTTGGTAGAGCTGCTCCACAAAATTGTATTACGAGGGTGGAGCTGAGTTTTTCTGCTCCACAGCTTCACTCCACCCAAAAAACCCACTACCCTTTAATTTTTTAGTGTATTTACACTAAAATACCCCTTCCTACCCCATCTCCTCCCGTTCTCTCTCCTCCTACGTCTTCCTCGGTAGACACCAGCGGCGGTAGCGGCGGGCGGGTGGCGTGGCGGCAAGGGCCACAGGCAACGGTGGGGGTAGGTGCACGGGTGGCAGTGGCGCGGGGTCGACGCACGTGCGGTGGCAGCCGCGGCGGCGGGTGGCGCATGGGCTGAGCGGGAGCGGCGGCTGCGGTCCACGAGCAGCGCACGGGTGGTGGTCAGCTCACGAGCAGACCGGCGCCGGCGGGACGGGCGGCGGCATCGGCAGTGCATGGGCTGAGCAGCAGCAGCGACACCTATCAGGTGTTTAACAAAATACCAACAAGGGACGTGGTGGAGTGGAGCTAACCATCAAGCCAAACACTTTCTATTCCACTTCAACTCCTATAGGAGCCAGCTCTAACTGGAGTTGGAGTTTAGAGTTTGGAGCTAAACCATCAATGCTATAGCTTCTTACTGCTGGAGTACTACCTGATAAAATACAGTGTGATAGTTGTTACAACCGGGTAGTATGCTTACTACTAGCAATAAGTTATTAAAATACTTCTTTTTTTGCTTTTGTATGCATAACAATCTCCTCGGATAACATTTAATGTGAACCCCGCTTTACTTACCAATTTAGGTATTAAATATTGTGATGTCTGCTAGTAACTATTAGAGAAAATTTCCTATCTAGCATAAAAAAAAATTGCTCTTCCCTCTATAGCACCCAAACTTCAAAAGTTCCCTATTGTTCTCTATTTAACACTTCCGTTAGTTTTGAGGGTGACGGTGTTAAGTAGCATGAGGAAAGACGGTTTTGCCCTTCTGTATTTTATACATTTTTTCCCTTTATCTGTTCACAGTTTTTTTGTTCTTTATTTTTTTCATTTAGTGTCCAGATGTCTGTACATCTTTTTTTCATTTTGTTCACAGTTTTTTTACCCTTTCTACATCTAAAATTTTTACAGAAATTTGACAGCATGTCTGCAACAACAGCATGTTTGCAACACAATAATGAACCAAATAAATTTTAGAGAGCATCCAAATTCACATCCTGGGATTAGCCGGCCGAGCAGGCCTAGGGATGGCCTCCTGTGCCGCTGGCGCTGGCCGTCCGGGGGAGCCCGCCGGCGCCAATGGCTGCCCAGGGGGTCGCCATCCTCGCCGCCCGGCTGATTCGCCGTCCTCGCCGCCGGCCATGGGGGCCGCCCGGGCGCTGGCCTCCCGTGCCGCCGGCGCTGCCCTCCCATGCCGCGACGGGCTGGCTTCCCGTGCCGCCGGCGATGGCCGTCCAGGGGAGCCCGCCGGCGCCAATGGCCGCCCGGGGGGTCGCCATCCTCGCCGCATGGCTGATTCGCCGTCCTCGCCGCCCAGGGGGTCGCCATCCATGGGGGCGGCGGCAATGTAGGGTTTTGCTGAGAAGCGCGCGCGGGTTGGGGAAAGCAGGTCGTGGTTGCGCTCTGTCCCGGAGAAAGAGCGACGAAAAAAATTCCTGAGGGTGGGTCCATGCTTGTTTTGACGGTGGAGGCTAACGGGATTAACGGAAGTGTTAGATAGGGAACAAAAATTTTGATGGTGCATAGATAGGGAACTTTTGAAAGTTGGGTGCTATAGAGGGAAGAGCAATTTTTTTTTATGCTAGATAGGGAATTTTCTCTAACTATTATTGGTTGATATTGGGATTCATCTTACTATTAAGTTGATAAATAAACATCGTGGTTACCTTTACCCATGGTGGAGGGTGAGATAGGGTAGGGAAAACGGATGGACAATTTGTTATTTATTTTTGAAAAACTACAATTTGGTATTTGTGAAGAGTGCATAATGGCAAATTCTGAAGAAGTGTGCGACATGAAAGAATGAAACCAATTAGTAGTAACAAACTTTTTGTGCATGTAGCTTTTTTCCTTATAGAAAACGTAGTGGTATAAGTGCAATTAACTTAAGGCATGAACACAGATGTTCTAAAAAAAACATGAACACAGAACCGTCTCAAAGGCAGAAGCCTGGCTGAAAGAGCAGTAGAGGCTGTATGGTGCACGACAATCCGTTTGCCATTCTGCGTGTAGTTTGTACGAGTCGCCAGACGATCCCAACAGGGCAACGCAACTGGCGTGTCTCTATAGTGGACAGAAACAGGGCATTGCTACATTCCTACACTACGTGCTACCCTGTATAGCAGCACTTGCCCATCTCATTGATATTATCCCTTTTTATTATATATACCATTGAGTTTATCAATATTTATACAATATGTCATCGGGTCAAGTCTTTTTTTAATTTTTTTTCCAAAATAACCTTACAAGCATACAAGATTGACAATTGATTTTTGAGAAAATCACGATTTTTTGTGTAGCCTTGTTAGACAACATAGAAGAATTACAAATTTGAAAACTACACAAAATAAATTACAAACATATCCTTGATGCCAAAGTCATTGATATCGAGGGCCTATTATAAACAAGTTTTTTTTTAAAAAATAATATATGTTTAGTCGCCAGCCAATCCCAACAGGTAATGCAACAGCCGTGCATGTCTCTGTAGTGGAGAGAGAGGACGATCAAAAGCGCTACATTCCTATACTACTCCTACCCCGTCTTAAAAAAAGATTAATCCTGGGTATAAATCTGGACACATATTATGTGTGTTTAGATTTCTAGCTAGACTTATATTTAGATTTTTTTTTTAATGGATGCTACGCTGAATAAATAGCCCTTTCCGATCTGAGACCCAACACCGGCCACCACTATCGAAAGATCTCGATCGATCTCAATCCTTATCTGAAGCCACACGGCATATCCTACTCCACTGTCCACCTCAATCGTCACTCGACGACGGCGACGGCGAAATCAGGAATTTTTACTCCCCCGCCACATATGCTGATCAACGCAAATAAATGAACTAACGCCTGATTAGTGCCCAAGTCAAAGGTTTCCGTTAAGTTTATTACACGGACCCAATTCATGCATGCGCTGATCGCTGGTCGACCAAACGAGTGGAACGATCCTCCCGGGCGGCTGTGATGACTGATGAGAGATGTCGTCATGGCGAGGAAACGAACGACGCCCATCGCCAACTTGGCGACCACTCGCCCCACCAACACCACACACCCAAGCCAGCCATGATGCGAAACGAGCGGGACACCCGCTCACGCTGTCGCCTTTGCTGGTGCAGGAGCCAAGCACCCCATTCTCCTTGGACCATCACCCACGACTGTGTTTAGTTCACACTGAAGTTTAAAAATTTGGTTGAAACTGGTACGATGTAATAGAAAAATTGTGTGTGTATACAAGATTTGATGCGATGAAAAATTAAAAGTTAAAAAAAATCTTTAGAACTAAACAGGGCCCATGTTTCGTTTCCCCTCCTCTCGCCATCGGTGAATGATCCCAAGCGTGCGACGCCCACGGCGCTGTCTCGCGATCTCTCTCACGCGTGGATCACAGCACCACGACGGGGCGGTTGCAAAACCGTAGCTAGCCTAGCTAGCCGGCCACAAAAACAAAAAATTCGGTCATATTCTCTCGTGGGTCGCATGGTGCAGTCCAGCTCGGAGGCAAGGTGATACATATTCTTCTCTTCTCACCCGGGTCACACTCGTGCGTGGGTCCAGGTACACTCTCTCCACCTTTCGCTTTGTTCTTTCCTTTGTTACCACTTTCTTTCCTCTACTAGCTGTGCCTGTAGTAGTGTAGTGTAGTGTACTGCTGCTGCAAAGACATGGCGAAAGAACACGAACCTAACGGCGACGCTTTTTTACTCATCAAAAGGCAGGACAGGCACATGTGAGGTGATGCTCCTCCCGCTGTGCACACAACTACTGTGTGTCTGTCTACATCTAATGCGCCATTGAAGGGGCGCATATTGGGCGCCACTTGTGCTAGTACCAGGTAATGATTATGTGTACACTTGTATGTATATCATGGGCGTCGCTGTGGCCACTAAAAACATTCTCCAGATGAGACAAGGACTGGTGATCTTGATGAATCTTGAGGTGAGAGAGAGATTGATAGAGACAAAACTTACAGGACTCGAGCAAGAATGCCTGGACAGTGTAGCCAACGGAATATATATGCTGGATAACAGAAGAATGGAGGGAACCTTTCACAGTTGTGTTGGCAATGGCACAGCAGATACATCATCACAGTATGGAGTATGGATCAGTGGATGATATGTGGCTCCTTACCTCTATCATGCATGAGGGCACATAAAAACATGCTTTCCTGCATATACGTCTAGTTCAAGGCTACAACAAGCACAATTACAACCGAGAAAACAAGAAAAAAAAATGCAAACATCAACTAGTAACCTATCCCCAGACATCTGAACTCTTTTCTTGCCCTTCTTCAGTTTTTCCTTCTTCCAACAATTATTCACATGCCAATTTCGTGTCGAAACTGCTCAAACAAATAGCGAAAGCCTGGAAGGCAGAGAGAGGATAGCGGTAGTCCATTGTGAACATATCCCTTGCAACTTTTCCAAACTGCAGAATAACCTTTTCGGGGTCGGCTGGACCAGGTTGCGAAGGAGTTGGAGCACCAGCAGGAGGAGGGCTTGGTGCAGCAACCAGCTGGAAATTCTTCACTGAGGCAATGGTGACACGGCCACGGAAGTTCAGGCACCAGCACTGTAGCTGCTCATGCCATCTCGGGGGCTTGTTACGGAG